ATCTAATCGTTTCCCGAGGTGTGAATGCAAAACGCACTTGCTGTTCGTCACACACGAGATTATGATCGTGGGATAGATCTGATTAATATCAATCTCGGGATTTATTTAAAAAAAATGTTTTTGTCAAAAATTTGCCACAAAACATATGTATGTATGTTGGCTTGTAAGGAATTATCTCGGGAACTATCTACCTACAGATTCTAAAAGTTATATTACTATAATATAAACCTCACACAAGCATGCGCCGAAAACAAAACCAGGGCATACCCTTTTTTTTTTATAGTTGGGAAATCCTATTACGGATACCACCCGACTTCCCCCGGGGTGGTTATGTGGAGACTCTCCGGCTAATGAGACCGGCATACCCACTAAAACCCAACTTTCCCCCTCTGCCGCCATGTGGGGCGCCACAGGATCGCTCTCGCATACAACCGCGACGCCCCGACGGTTGGCCGAAGCCACCAACCATGAGGCCGCCCCAAGCGGGACAACCCCATTATGGGAAGACTTACAACCCAAAAAGTGAGGCCGCTCCTAAGTCCACTCTGCTGATCAGAGAAGTACCCGGAGCAGCCTCACACCACACAAACACCGCCCACCGAAGTGGGCCACCTCCAATCGGCTGCAGAGGACAGGGAGAGCGGCAACGAAACACCGACACTCCTCTTCCCCTGCAGCCCCACCGCGTCCGCCATCAAACGGTGGCGGCCCCGTCTAGGCCGCGGAAGGTAGGGAGAACGGCGCACCGAAATACCGGCACTCCTCTCCCGCCGCGGCCTACCCCTCCGCCGAATGCGGGCCTGCGACCACAGTCCCGCAATCGGCACCCATCATCCGGTTGTGGGACCAAGCGGTCCCACCACCGGTGGCCGCAACGTCTTCGGCTCGAGGCCTAGACGAGCGGCCCCATCCAAGCCATTTGGTCCGCGCCGGATTTCTCCGGTACCACCCGCCCCTCTAAGCGGGTGGCATGCCCCTATCCGCCACCTGGGGATGCGCCCGGTAGGAGTTGGCTTCTCCCCCGGGAAACCAGGGCAAACCCTAGTTAAGCTAAAGTTTACTCATTAATATCATTAACCATAGGTATACTTACGAAGTATTCGATTTAATTAGGTACTTATATATAAAACCGTACCAACAAAAGTTGTAAAATTAGAGAGGATGAAACCTTTCAGTACCTACCTAGTTAGTTCCAGTCCACTGTCTAACAGTGAAAACTAAATTTTACACAAACACCTCCCATGACCATGATTGCCATAAAGCATTGGAAACGTCGGGAATTAAAAATCAAAATTAATACGCGCAAAAATCCGAAAAGATAGTTTTATATTTTAAAATGTGAAATATTCGCGTAAATCTAAGAAAGTATTATGTTTACGCAAAAAATAAAAATAAATACACTCATCGTTATTATGACTTGAAAATCCAAAGTGTGTTCAAATCTGTACGTCGCGCCTCTGATATTTTCATTTTCAACATTATTTCCATTTGTCAATACGTTGAAGGAAACATCGTGAGGAATGCCTGAGGGACCAGACAGTTTTGGAAGGATGTGTGTAGAGGATAGCCAAATCCTCATATCTATGGGAGACCCGTAACGGGATTTTTTTAAATAAATTTTTGTCAAATCTAATTCTAATTTCTAATTCGTTTTCCATTATACTAGTACGTGTGCAAACAATGCTGAGAGTGTAGTAAGTGCAGTTAATTTCATTTTAATCGCTTCTGTAAATGCAAATGAATAGATTTAGCGCCTTTATTATTACTAGGTACCTATAATAATTTTGCATATTTGATGTCGACTGGAAACAAAAAGGCTTCCTAACATTACATGTTAATAATAAGTCCGTATTACAACAGAGCACGGAAAATCCTAAATTTTTATTTCTTGATTATTTAAATATTATCTTTAAAAACCTTCTTTCTATTCTGTCACGACTCAAAAGATTACCCTTTAAAAGTTTGATAGATAAAAGATATATATTAATTAGGAGCCTTAAAATACTTAATACACTTAACATAATCTCCAAACCAAATATGTTAAGATATATCCCAACATATAACAGCATGTGCATCACCGGATCCCAGCACATCCGCGCGGCGGCGGATGGACGCGACTCCCGTGGGACGCGCCTCCCCTATTGCGTTTCACATCCTATAGTAAACAAAACGTAGCTTTGACCGGGTCATATACCAAAATTTAAGTAAAATTTTAGTATCTTAATTGGTAGCACAATTCGATTATAGGTTATTCAGAAAGGTTGTAGTAAAATGGGAGTACCTATGTATTTTTTTTATTCCTCCTCTTCCTTCCTCTGTTGAAAATTATGGAAATAAGGCTATAATTCTATTCGAGGCAAAGAAAGGAATTTTGACGTGTATTTATTATTGAGATTAATTATTTTATTTTAAACTAGCAGTACTGGGTCCATTTGTGTTTACAAACCATGCAGGGACCCATACGAACATACACAAAAAATATCATTAAAATCGTCCCTGCCGTTTAGATGATCAGTGTCACACAGACTGCAGCGCCACCTACCGAGTTCAATTGTATTTTCAAACCATCCAGGAGCCTATTAAAATATACACACAAAATTTCATTGAAATCAGTGCAGTCCTTTAGGAGGAGTAGATTAAAAACACACATACAGGAGAATTATATATATTAAGATAAGTCCAACCTGAAACACATTTGAAACGTGACTTGGTTATTGCGTTTTATTTACCTTCAAAACCCTTAACCTGTCAGCGACTGCTAAGCCACAGGTGGGTCTGTTTACAATTGAATTCTTAAAAATTAATCGCGAGGTGTTAAATGTATTACAATATACCTACATCGATCAAAAAAGTACTAGATATACACAATCAGCGACAAAAAATGTCTTCGCTAAATGAGCGCTCATTAGAACATTTGAGCGCGGTTTTAATTTAAATAAAAATTTGTGAAAACAACTTTAAGCATTGCATTTAAGGTTCAATTTACATTGTTATATATTTATTCCAGATAGAATAATCATCTAAACACAATTGGCAACAGTTTTAAGAGAACTTTTGCGTGGGATTGTTTGTGTATCTTTTTTGATCGATGAAAATATGTTATAAAATTAACCGTTTAAATATCTGTTTTAAACTTTATTTGGCCTATATAATATCTATAATGGAAAAAAATCTAAAATAAAATATATTTAAGAGAAATTAGCTACTATATATGACGCTTAGTTTTTATAAGCGTTGTTTTGCGGTGGTCCGTTCCAGAATTGGTACATTCTGGGATCGACTACGTAATTCTAATAATGACATTCTACGAGTAATGGGCGAGTACTTGAGTGTTGACTTTCTCCGGCATTGGTTGACACAGCAATGCGGTAGAAATAAAAAGTAGGTAGCCTTATTTAATGTTTTTGTGTATATATTTTATCATAATTTTATTGTAACTATATTGTAGACATTTTATATTGGCGAATAAGCCTGAAATAAAGATATTTATTATAAAAAAAGTAAAAAAAAAATGAAAAAAAATAATATTATTATTATAGTTGACACAAAATGTTTGTCTAAACTCTAAACTCTTAAGTATTGGAGCACGCAGAATAGTTGTCAATCTGTACTTTTAGTCTCTTCAACCGATTAATTTTTCTATAACCTGTAATATATTTGCTAAGTATATTTTATTATACAACAAATATCCCATGTCATTGTAAATTCCGAAATAATATGCGATTTCGTTGATTATTTATGAAATAAGTTTCTATTACTTATCCTAAACAGTTCTTTTGTTTTGTCGCTGAGGACTGCTGACCGTCAACGGGTAGGGTACTGGTAGACAAATATTCGTATCCTAAGCATGCCCTAATCCCTAAAAAAATATGTAAGATTCTAGGTTATCTAAATTTTGTATGTATAAAATTATAATAATTAATTAATTAAACTATCGTTTTGGGTTTTTCCGCGGATTTATTTAGATTTTTGATTCCCGACGTTTCGAATTCTGTACAGCAATCATGGTTATGTGAGAGACTAAGTTTTTAGATGTTTCATAGATCGGTATATTATGTACTTGTTACAGGCAGCGCCTACCCACAATCAAAATAAATTCGCGATATAATCCGAAAAGATAGTTTTATATAAAATATCAAATATTCGCGTAAATCTAAGAAAGTATTATTGCCTTGTTTGAACAACAAAGAATATATTATATAGTTTAATTAATTGTCTTTTCAATTTATTTATTTATATTAATTATCTGCTACAGTCATATTTAATATTAAGGCAAATATATTAAGGCAGTGGTAGCCCAGTGGTAACGCGCTCGCTTGGGAAACCGAGTGAAGCGAGTTCAAATCCCGGGTCTCGCACTTCTGATGTTTTCATGTGCGAATCATTTCCAACATGATTACCACTTGTCTTAACGGTGAAGGAAAACATCGTGAGGAAACCTGCATATTAAGAGAACCTAGCAAGTTTTCGAATGACATGTGAAGTCCGCCAACCCGCACTTGGCCAGCGTGGTGGACTATGGCCTGACCCCTCTCGTACTGAAGTGAGGCTCGTGCCCAGCAGTGGGACGTTAAAAAGGGCTGAATACAGTCATATTTAAGTGTTTTTCAGGGGATGGTAATAAAAATACGCATAATCCATTTGTAATATTATTTTAATAAATTAATTGAACATACAATTAAATAGCTAAGGTTGCTTTACATTGACCTATGCATATGACTAAATTTATGACACATGTCATTATGACATATGTCACGTGTCTATCTGTCACTATGTGACATGTCATACTTGTCATTTTGTGCACATACAGGTTATAAATACACATACACACAATCTTGCGTATTTAACGGCGCAAAATTAGGCAATCTGTCATACAGGTGTACTACAAGTGAACGAGTGACGAAGAGGGATTTCTGGCCGAAGTCTCTAAATGTCATATCTATTATATTTCTGTATATGTCACCATTTGACAGATGTCATTAGTGTCGCAATGGCCACTAGCGCGCGGCGGCGGCGGTGTCGGCGGCGCGGCGCGGGCGGCCGTCGCGCGCCAGGCGCAGGTGCACGAGGCGCACGTGCGTGGCGAGCACGCCGGCCTGCGCGAAGCGCGCGGCGCAGCGCGGGCACTGGAACGGCCGCTCGCCGGTGTGCGTCCGGATGTGCGCTTTGCGGGTTGCGTTACGCTATTGTCGTACATACGTGTATTAACAGTAGGAGAGATCGAGAGAGGATTTTGGGATCGATTATTTATTACAGTAATAAATAATCAATATTATAACAATTTATTAATTAACGTGTAATCATAATTAGCCCAGCACGCTTTAATCTTACGGTTTCAAATATTTCTAATATGTACTCGACAGAGTGCAACGTAATAAATAAATTTATAATCTCCACGAGTACATTCGATTATATTGTGAATCAATCAGATGTTAACAATTTCACTAAATGAACCGTTAAATTGTAAAACGTACACTGATTGGTCAGATTTGTACATCTTTTTCCATACACAGCATGAACCATAGACTTAGTAAAATAAAAGAATAGAAAACTAACATTCTTTATTATTCATCACTTACGAGTGATTATAATAATTCACCTGTTTTTTAGTACGAGTACGTGACAAAAATCCGCGTAGTTATAATATCACTAGTGAAATTATAATTTAACGGCTTTTACAACATCCCTGCGACGTATACAAAAAAGTCAGTCGACAGCAACATACACACGCACACACACTCGCACACGCGCCCACACAAACACGCAAAAATTTGAATTAAATCGAAAAAAAGGTTCAGTTAAAGAGCAATATATACTTACATCAAAAACTTTATCACAGAGCGGACATGGAAAATTCAAAGGACGTTTATACCCCTCGTGCGCAAACCTCGAATGTTCCGTAAGAGACCACGCGTTCACATAAGCCTGTGGATAGAAACCATTGTTTCGTTAAACAGCATCGATCAAAAAATATGCTAGATACACAATCAGCGACAAAAAGTGTCCTCACCGAATGAGCGTTCATTTAAACATTTGAGCGCGCTTTTAATTATTTTTCTTGTGGAAATAACTTTAAGCATTGCATTTAAGGTTCAATTTACATTGTTGTATAGTTATTTCATCTAGTATTTATGAGTTTTCATTTTTTTATTTCCTATTTTGGAATTAATCGTCCTAAATATAATTACCTTATCACATTTATCGCACTGATATGGTTTGATATTTAGATGCACTCTATTCATGTGTCGATCGACGTCTCGTCTAACACTAAATCTTTTTTCGCAGTGATTGCATTGGAAGCTGTAACGAAAAAGATTATTTTAATAAATATGTGCAAATAAACAATGGAATTAGAAAATATTGCGGCTCATATTAAAATTATTTATTTATTATTAATTATATTATAATTTATTTTAGTAACTAGTGACTTAACCTCGCTTCACTTGAGTTAGTTAGGTTTAGCTCGGTATGTTTTTATTTTTTTGAGCGGAAACACAATTCTTTTTCTAAAATAAAAGTATCCAAGTTATTCCTTATAACATCAGCTATCTGACAGTGAAAGTCCCGTCAAAATCTGTCTAGCTGTTTCGAAGATTAACCGGAACAAACAGATAGGCATATAGACAGACAGACAAACATTTTAAAAGTTGTGTTTTACTTATAATTACTATATATAATAAATTCAAATGCATTTAGTAAAAAGCTGTTATTTTGACATTAAAAATAGACACTTCAATACAAGTATACAAGTATTTACACTACCTCGGTGGTGTAGTGGCTAGCATGTACGGCTGCACACCCGGAGGTCCTGGGTTCGAGTCCCGGGTCGGGCCAAGTTTAGTTATTGAGTCTTTCTGTAAAGTAAGCCTCAGTAACAGCCCGGAGCTGGGAAGTTGGCGGCGTTTCACCCCCGTGCCTCGGACTGCACGTAAAGCCGTCGGTCCTGCGCCGACACTCTCACTGGTCGTGTCTCGTGTCGTCCCACCGGAGTATGAGAGTGACAGGAATAGAGAGTGCACGTTGTGTCTGCGCTCTCTCTCACACGCGCTGCACTATAATATCTCCTGCGCAGTTGGCTAGGCTCAATGGGATTGGCCGCCGTGGCCGGAATCGGTCAGGAGAACATCATCATCATCACAAGTATTTAGCTAAAGACGCTAATAAAAGTACTCAAAAATAACTATTACTTACGGTAGATCCATATAATTGACATGTGGGGCAGCTATTTTTAAATGTTGCTTTAATGTATTATTCGATTTGAAACTTCTGAAAAAGAAAATAGAAATAAAAATATTAAAAAAAAATTGAATTCCAACTTGCTTCTGAAGTATGATAAATAATAGTAAAAGATAAAAGAATAGATTCAAAATTAATCTTATAGAATGAAACACCTTTAAGAGAAACTAATAATGAATATCTATTTGACCGACTTCGAAAAAATAGCACAGACTTATCCATATAAAATACAGTATAATAATATTATGAATATTTTGGCCAATAGTAAATCGTTTTTCATAATTCTTTTTTTTTTATTCTTTTAATTATTACACATAGATGGTCCAAAGTAAATTAAAAAAAAGCAATGGCAGAAATTTTTAAATAGGATAATTAGGAAGTTGGTAAGTTTGTGTACATATTTTTTTTTAAATTACATCTCACTCACTCTCATTTCCGAATACTCTGTAGTTAAATACAATCAAAAGTACCAATTATTTCAAACAACGAGAACAGTTTTAAATAAAACCACATATTTAAATAAAACTCAATATTAATCATTTAAATTAAAAAAAAACCCTTTTTTTAGATAAAATAATTTTCTTAATCTGTGTCCATTTTTAGTTTTAAATTATGGCAACACTTAAAAAAACAAACTTGCAATATGATAAAACCTTAAAAACCTAATACTCACCTGTTACATTCCACACAATAATAATTTCTATTCACAGAGTGTTTTATCATGTGGTTCTTCAACTGTGAGGGAGCTTTGAAAGCGTCACCGCATTCCGAACAAACATACTTTTTGCTCGGGATTTCCCCTGACGTTACTTCTGATGAATGTTTACTGTACCAAAGACAAAGGAATGGATAGATAGATATGTATGTATTAAAATAGTAAAGATTAGCAACTCAACCTCACTTCGCTCGGATTCGTTCCTAAGCAATTTTTGGTACCTTAAATTACATTATTTGCAATTTTCATCAGTATCTCTAAAAAATTTTGAAAATAAAGTTTGCCCCATGCTACCCGCTGATAGTGTAGCTTTTGGTAGATAAAAGAATTTTTGAAATTGGTCCATTAGTTTTATAGTTTATCCATTCCAAACATACAAAAAAAAACTTTTTTTTATCCTTATAATATTAAGTATAGAAGTATAGATTTGTATGTATATAACATTACTATTTATAAATTAATATAAAATAATTCTTGTATTTGTATTTGTTTGCACGCTTGCTCCTAGATATCGGCTGAACAGAATTCAATATAAGACTTTTCATATCATATAAGATATAGTTTGAATAGAAACATTGCTAAGTTTAATTTGATTGAAACAATTTGATATTTCAGTTGTGTGCAGTATCTATACCAACATTATAAATGTGAAAGTTTGGGAGGATGTATGGATGTCTGTATGTATAGATGTATGGATGTTTGTTACTTTTTCACGCAAAAACTACTGAATGGATTTTAATGAAATAAATACATCAGATTAACACATAGGCTACTTTTTATGTCGGAAAAATATACGGTTCCCGCGGGATAGATTTGTTTTTGTTGTAGCTAATAGTAATATAAATTAAAATGATAATATTATGTTGTTACATATGTTTGTTTAGTATTTTATGTAATGTTTAAATATACGGTTCCCGTGGGATAGATTTCAAAATTTAACTAGGAAAGTTTTTAACTAGGAACGAACCCGAGCGTATCGAAGGTGAGTAGCTATTTATCAATATTTTTTATTCAACATTAAATTATTATCTCACCTTATCATATGAGTCTTCAAAATCTCTTTATTGGCGTAGGTTCTTTGGCAGTAGTTACACTGAGGCCGTTTTTTACTTCTATGTACGTCGGCTATATGCTTTCTCAGTGACACTTGCCGTCTAAAATACAAACTAATATTATTAATCTGAAAGCGTGTTTGTTTGTCCTTCTGTCAACGTTTATTGCTATTTTTGTAATACAAATAGAAAATAAATCTCATAATGTTACGAGCAATTTAATTTACTTGTAGGTATGTAAGCTAGCTTATAAATATTTTCAGTGCAATTCTTTATTACGTGGATTTTAGGCAAAAAAAATCTATTTTGTCGGACATTTTGTGACTAGAGAAATAGCACCGAAGTAACTTATTATTTTCTTTCGACGCCATCCTATTTTCTTCAAAATTCATATATTTTTTGTGGGGAGGATCCGTCTCTAATAAGTATACAACAAATTTTGAGACGATAAAAACCTTACTATCTTCCATAACCAAGCTTGCTGTAAAGTATTCAAAACTTATAGAAACAAAAAATCAAACCACTTCACGAAAAAAATGTTTTATTTAAAATATCATATATTCACGTAAATCTAAGAAAGTATTAAAACGTACTTACTTAAACGTTTTATTACAATGTGAGCATTTATACTGGAAAGTGTCCTGCAAATGATGCGCCGTGTAGTGATCCTTAATGGTCAACCTACTTATTCTTATTAGATCGCATTCTATACATTTGTATCGTCTAGAAAAATAAATTAAAATAATATAACAATTAATTAAAAAATTATAATAATATCAATAATATGTATAACAATATGAGGCAAACAACAAATATAATAAAGAAAAGGCAGTGGAAGCCCAGTGACAACGCGCTCGCTTGGGAAACCGAGTGAGCGGGTTCAAATCCTGAGTCTCGCATCTCTGATATTTTCACGTGTGAATCATTTCCAACATGATTACCACTTGTGTTACGGCGAAGGAAAACATCGTTAGGAAACTAGCATGTCTGATAAAACCTATCAAGTTTTCGAAGGACATGTGAAGTCCGCCCGCACTTGTCCAGAGTGGTGGACTATGGCCTGATCCCCCTCGTATTGAAGGGCGGGCACCCCAAGCAGTGGGACATTAAAAAGCGCTGAATATATGAATAAATATTTTTCATGGTCTTAACTGTCCACATAAAAAATAAATGCCAAAGTTTGTGCGTTTAAAACTTTTCTACGCTAACTCAGTCAAGTGAGTGGAGTCACGGAAAATAACTAGTACAATATATAATTAAAAAAAAAACAATTTACTCCTATTAGATAATACACTCACATTCTATGATATCGTTGATGACTCATTAGTTTGTCCATCGTCGCCATTCTCTGTTTGCAAATGTCACATTCGTATTCACCCATCTCCTGGTATGCAATAAAAAATCAAATTATTAATATAACTTGCGTCTCAACCTCGCTTCGCTCGGGTTCATCCCTGGCTTGATTCCCAATACAAACTTTCATCCACATTTTCACCCCTTTAAAGAATGACTTCCGGGATAAAAAGTATCCTATGTCCTTTCCAGGGTCTCAAACCATCTTCTTACCAAATTTCACGTAAATCGGTCCAGTAGATCCAGAGATTACCCCCCTACAACGTCACAAACTCACAAACATTACCTCTTTATAATATTAGTATAGATTAACTTTTTATGATAAACTAGCAATACCCGCGGCTTCGCTCACATTCAAATATCCAATCGCTACCAAGCTTCACAGCATCACCCGCTGGACTAATCTGAAGATTGTTTGAAAATGTCATCTAAATCACTCCAGCCGTTTTGGCGTGTCTTTAAAGTAACTCCATATCATATCTATCCTCGTGCATTATCTACACAGATAACTAAAATTCAAGTGTCTGTTTGTACTGTCAAAATAACAGCATTTTACTAAATGTATATTAAATTTTATACAGTACTTATAAGAAAAACACATTTTTTTAAATTTTCGTCTGTTTGTTCTGGCTAATCTCCGAAACGACTGGACTGATTTTGATGGGACTTTCACTGGCAGGGTTCCGCTCAAAAACATTAAAACACACCCGAGCGAAGCGAAGTAAGTCGCTAGTACACTAAATGTTCATACAGAAATACTAATTCATACAGAAAAGTCAATGCTTATTTTCTATGCTATATAATTATGTTTTAAATATTTTGTTTTAGTGTGCACGTTCCGTCTAAAACCATCTAATTTTTTACTCCAGATCCACGCCTTCTTACTTTTATCAACAACCAATAACATACCTTACTATGTTTTTCCATATGCTTCTCATACGCTCCTTTAAAATTGAAACCCTTCACGCAATCTTCACATTTGTATGCCAAATTCATATACTTTGGATCTTTCAACATTTTCGAACGCTCTACCATACATTGTTCCCGTGTTATATTTAATGCGACTACAACTAGATCTGAAATATAATCAAATTATTCGTTATTATACACTAGTTGTCTCCCACGTTAAATTTGTTTGATTATAAACAATATCAGTTTTACAATAATATATAGAAGTCTGCCGATTTGTTGATATTTATAATTATTTTGTAGTAGTATGATATATTATGCCTATAGCCTTCCTCAATAAACTGGCTATCTAATGCAAAAAGAATTTTTCAAATCGGATCAGTAGTTCCTGAGATTAGCACGTTCAAACGCTTATAATATTAGTATAGATAATACATATCCATATATATGTATTAGGCACTTTTAACTTTCACTTCGAATAACTTTTTAATCTATTTACTCATTAAAATGTTATTCAAAAATCTATAATATAATTACACTTTTTTCTCCAATTAGGTAAAATGAATAAAAAAATCTTCCTTGGAAATTCTACAATGTCATTTCCAGTCAAAAAAAGTGATTAAAAGTATTCTCTTCTCATCTTTTCTTACTTTCCTAAATTTATTTCGAAAAAAATATTTTTTTTAATCTGCCTAAATTATGTTTATACATACAAATAACATTTAAATCAAAAAGGTACATACACTCTTAGGTTTTTTTATAATTTATTTTACTATTATTATTTTTTTGTAATATGGGTCCAAATCTATAGGCATATAATAAAATTCTAAGCCGAATCTGTACATTAGATATTTTTTGGAAAATCTTACTGATATAGACTTTACTATCGATACAGAGGATGAATCTATAGTTTTTAGAATTTTTGTCTGTCACGGTTCATGGAAAGACCACTGCACTGATTTCGATGAAATTTGGTATGATAGCTGGTTATCCGGGTCAACATAATATACAATACTTTTTACTGCGGGAAAATATCAAATTTATAATATACAAATAAAACAATTGCACTTACCTAGATTATCAGATATGTTTATACTTTTAGTACTTATACTTTTAGTACTTATACTTTTAAATTTAGTCCTTTTCAATTTTCTTCTATGTTTACTTAATTTTATATCACTTAGTTCAGTATTCTCTTCCTTCACTAAGTTTTTAAACGAAAAATTATCTTCTCCTTTAATTGTTGAGTTTTTGAAATCTATAAATAAAACTAACATGAAAAGAAATTATCTACAATCTATACCTCATATTGAATTCAAAGAGAATGATGCTCAAGTGGTAACACACACATACATACATACACACACAATATGATTCAATATTAATCCTATCCCATTACTTATTATGAATGCAAAAGTTTGGATGGATGTTTGTTACTCAATCACGCCAGAACGGCTGAACGGATCTGGATGAAATTTGGCACAGAGATAGACTATAGTCCGGAATAGCACATAGGTTACTTTTTATCCCAGAAAAATGTACGGTTCTCGTGGAATAGACTTGTTTCTGTCTATAGACAGACCCGAAGCGAACCGAGGGTGAGTTGCTAATGTATCAATAAAATATCAAATAATCACCAGCTGATACAAAGCAAATCTCGATACGTAAAATACATCAAAAATTGATATATAATATTTTAACTATAATTAGAGTTCATACCTAATCATATTTACCTATTATATATTCATATCTTAAAATATTGTCGGCTGGCACCGACTTCGAACATATCTGATTAGGTATCTATTCTAAATAAAAGCCCCCGTTTAGTTATTTTTTACATTTTAGTGCCTGGAAGTCGGTTTTTGTTAAGTTTTTATTTTGAGCTATTTTTATGTTTTGTGGTAATTTTTTTTTATATTTTATTTTATTTGAGATAAATTCAGAAAAAAAGCTAAACAAAACTATGAGAGATCGGGTGGACTCTTAAGAGTCCATCCAAATGAAGTATGTTTTTATTGATTGATTTTAGCACTGTAGCAGTTGGCTTAGAATAGAGCTACCCCATCTCCTCCTGTAGGTGTCATAGAAGACGACTAACAGCTCTAAGGATCGCACTATGAGTCCCTTGCTCGATAGAGAACAACAGCATTCCCAAAGAAAGTTGACATCAGGCAGGTGGCCGATCGGAAAACTTTTGCCAAAACCAATAAGCAGTATTGACGTACCGCACAGTGCCCAAGTAATTAGGGAAATAGGGGCGTAGATGATGACTATAAATTACTAATAGATAATCATACCTATGTTGTTTTTACTGTCTCTTTTATGTCCTTTTTTCTTTACTTTATGACTTTTCAATGTTTTTCGCAACTCATTTAAATTTATATCATCTAGTTCTGTACTTTCTTCTTTTATTGAATTGTCATTAGAATCAGATTCTCCTTTGATAGATTGGTCTTGAATATCTGAAAAATATTATAAAAATGGTTAATATTCAGTCAATATATTAGTGTATATCATGTAAGAATTTACCATTTAAAATTTAAAAGCACTCACATTAAAACAAAAGGTCTATACTAATATTATAAAGAGGCAGAGTTTGTTTGTTTGAACGCGTTAATCTCAGGAACTACTTAAAAGTTTAAATCCGATTTGAAAATTATTTTTGCATTACATAACCCGTTAAGGCTATAGGCTATACATCATCAAGCTACTACCCAAGTGAGCAGAGCAGTAATATAATGTATAGTTAGTATAATATATAGTCTATCTATTCCATACTAACCGTTAAAACATACTTAGGGATAAACGCTAGCAAAGCGAGGGTGAACCGCTAGTTAAAGGAGACGTATGTAAGTATGGGCTTATACTATTTTCTAAAACATACAGACCTTACGAAATTAAATTTTTAAAATTAAAATTAAAACTTTATCAGAACTACAGGTAAAGCTATTGAAAAACAATAAGTACAATTTTACAATTAAATACTAATATCAAATAAATAATTTGTATATATCATTAACTATTGAGCTTCTAAAAAAGTGAATGATATTAAGATGATGAAGTAAGGTAAGTTATAATTTAATGTTGTTAATAGTTTATAAGAGTCCTAGTTGATGTACTTTTGTATTCAGCCCTTTTTAACTTTAACGTTTTTAACTGCTGGGCACGAGCCTCCCTTCAATACGAAGGGGGCTACCACGCTGGCCAATTTAATAGTAATCAATTAAGTAGTTTCCCTAATAATTATATATAATAAAAATGCCAGGTCTTGAAAATAATAACATAAATAAGTATAACCAAACACTTACCTAAATAATCTGTAAAATCTCCTTCCAAATCATTTATGCTTTCTTCTTTATATTCAATTTTTATTTTATTATCCCAACCTCGGCTGTAAACTGTACAACTAGGCTCTTCTATATCATTTTCATCACTAAATTCACTTTTATCTAATGTTAATTGTTCTGTTCGTGTTGTTTGAAATTTGCTTTTCACTGTTTTATTTGTTGTATCTGTAATCTTTTAATATTAATAACATTAAAGTATCTGTATTAAAATATTTATAACAAGAAAGAACTAAATAAGCCTTTAATACTTGTGGGCACACTTTTGAAGTAAAATTTCAATAATTTTTAAAAGGATTAACTTGTAACTAGTGACTTACCCTTGCTTCGCTTGGATGCAACCCTAGGCATATTTAAAGTTTTGGAGCAACCCTAATGTCAGTCCAGCCTTTTTGAAGATTAGCCGGAATAAATAGATAGACAGACAGACAAAAATTTTAAAAAATGTATATTTTTATAAGTACCATATATAATTTTATATTCATTTAGTTAAAACCTGTTATTTTGACATTACAAACAGACACTCCAATATTATTTTTCTGGATAAGTCTTTACTTACTTTTTACTTTACTTACTTTTTAACTCATATTCTCACAAAAAATAGTAATTAATTTACAATTACAAAAAGGTATTTTATGTAGTTTGAGAATAAAACTTACATTTGAGAAGTTCTGCATAAATATCTGATTACTCTCAACATTCTTAATGAAATATTCAGCCTTTCGCATAAGTTTTTTACAAATATAGCATAATTTTAGACAGTCAACCTAAAAAAATATTTTTTTAGATTTATGATTTGTGATAAGTTTTAATGAATTTTCCTATTAACAAAACAGAAAAATTACGATTCCATTGTAACACAATAATACCTGAAATAAAGTTTTCAAGTTTTCAATTTGCAGCTTATAACATTGTAAATTAATTTCTTCATTAAGATTTAGGCATCCTAAACAATGTTCTAATTTGTTATTTATAGTATCCTCCATTTTTCCATTTAGAAATTATTTACCTAATAATTTACAGATTTTTAATTCAATATTTACATCGTATAAAAATCAAAACAAATAAACATTCCACTATTTTGATTAATTTGTAGGTACTGTATTTGACAATTGACAGTCGGACAGTTGTCAATTTAAATCGTTTCATTCGCTTAGCATCGATGTTTTAACGAATTATCGATAGCATAGATTCATATCGAATCAACTTTTTATGTTCGTTTTACTGAAACAAGTGTTATGTTTAATAATAAATGAATGCTATTGCAATTTCAATATAAATATCTCAATACGTTAATTGCAATGAATTTGTTAAAATTAATTTCGTAATTGGGACAAAAGTACCTGTACCTAGTTTAATATTTAACCATAAACTTATAGGTACTTGTGACCTGAGATTAAGCAAGTTATTTCTTGTGTAAATTATTTATTTCCATATATTAATAAAAATAGGTCATGATATAAGTACAGGAAAGATAAAAAGTTTACATTTTACTATTTACAATAAGTCTGATAAATTATACATTATTTTTGGCTTTAAAATTCAATTCTATAGAATAATTTGCCTAAGGTAAATAACAATGGGCGAAAGTGTAAGTAATTTTACAAACACAATTGCACAAAGTATGAAATAAACTATATCGAATTAATGTAACAGCAAATCGATTTATAGATTTAATAGAATCTAAAAAATTTTACAAAAAAATATGGTTTACATATTTTAAAGTATAAAAAGTACGTGTTGTAAGTTCAGAAACATGACATAGGACCGTTTCGCTAAACATCGGGTACCCCAAACTATATTTTTGGGCCTACTACGTATCTGTTCTAATGAGCTATTTTTAATAAATTTTATATTATAAAACAAAGTGCCCCCGCCGCGCCTGTCTTTAATGTGATATAGGACTCAAAAATCTTTCGTCTAATAATTCAATTAGGTTTTTGTAAATCGGCTGAAATATGACGGTGACTGTTGAAAATGTCGGAAAAAATAAAGTCGATTGGGAGTTTCACCGGCGTAAGCCGCGTAAGCCAATAGAGTCATATGAAAACAATGTATTTCAGAATTATTCCCCATAAAAAGATCTATTAACTTTTAGCTCCCTTAGAAGTAAATTGGTATACTAAAAATAATATAAATTATTAATTATATAAAATAGGACTTATATGTATTATTGTAGATTCATTATTTTATTCTTTATGTTGTCATACTGATATAAAATACTTCTTTAAGTTTTCTGACGTTATCATCTTGAGTGGAAAAAGGGCGGGAACAGCGTTGTATTTTGTTTCATGACTTTTTAAAATAATGCGTGATGTGTCTAAGTCATTCCTTTTGTAATGTCGTTTGAGGCGTTACCCTGACTCTGTATAAAATAATAAAAACTGTGTGCTGATACACTGATTTTTACTTGGCCTACCTGACCTACTTCTCAGATAGACTCGTAATAAAATAGTTCCTTGAACTGTAGCAACGCTATATACAACGAGGGTTAAATCAAGAATACATTTGGTTTTTAAAATAATTCAAACATAAACTTTAAAAAAATTATTTAATGTAAGATTTAATATTAGACTGTCACAGTATTCTAAACTTTTATGTTATTTTCCTGAACTGTGGTTGGTGGATTGACAGTTTCAGAACATACTTTTTTATGTGTTGTAAGCTTCCCTTTTGATGCAAATAACTTGTCACATTGATAACACTTATGTTTTGAATCCATGTGAAATCTGAAAAAAAAAATGTTCGATTTATATATAAACTAATGTAATAAGTGATTTAAACTGAAAAAACTTTTACAATTATGAAGTAACTAGCAGAACCCGCGGCTTCGCTCGCGCTAAATCTACAAAAAAAATTTCTAAAACGGTAGTTTCATACAAACTTTTATCCCCTATTTTACCCGTTTATAGGATGAATTTCGAAAAATGCTAAAACATGTATTTATTTAATTTTATTGAAGACCATTAATACCAAGTTTCAAGTAATTCTCATAATAAATATTTTTTTGGATTGTAATATAACGTGATTTCCCAAGAAAACTTTAGATAATCTCTCGCGGTAAAAAGTAGCTATGTCACTCTCCAGTCCTCCAACTATCTCCACACAAAAAATCAATCCGTCAATCCTTCTGAACGTGAAAGAAGGACAAACAAACAAACACACTTTCATCTTTATAATATTAATAAACATATCCAATGTTTATTATAATGCAATTTAAAAAAAAATCTTTTTTTGCAAAGGTTTTTTTTTCATTAAGATTTTATCATACATTGACATACAAAAACTAAAGATAGGTACAGGATTAGTGTCTGTCTCAAAAGTGCCCTCAAAAGAAGCGCACAATCCAAAATTGCATTGCACTTTTTTCATACCTTTATTATTCATTGCCTTTCGAATGACACATTAAACGCACGTTGTTTCGTTTAAGAGTTAGACTATATGTCTGTGTGCGTAAGTTCGAATTTGTGTTTAGGAAATTAGAACTTTCGATTTTTGAATTTTATTCTTGGGTCGGACTTAACAACGTCACATATCGACGCCAGTTTTTGAAGAGATATTGTTTTTATAGATTTTTATAGATTCGTTTATAACGAAACTATTTTAGTTATTTTGGATGATCAGATTCCCCACAATAATTTATGTATTGATATTATAAATATGCACTCAAGTAATTTAAAAAAAAATGCTTGAAAAATTAATAAGCTTCTTACCGTAAAATATGCCTTTGTAGACTACTTTTTCTAGAAAACATTTTATCGCAAAAGTTACACGAGTAGCGCTTCCCAGAGTGTGTTTGTTCGTGTACTGTTAATGTAAATTTCTTAGGAAACGATTTGTTACAGACACTGAAACAATGTAAAAAAATATAAAAAAATTGGTTTTGGTATTTCTAGTTATTATTTAGTTTAATCAATATTAAACATGTAGGAAAAAAAAGCAAATATCATTCTTTTTTTATAAAAAAAAAACGTTTCAAGTTGTATGAGTATTTAATTCTAAAAGGAAAAAAATATTTTTTTCGTAAACATCTGACAATGATTATTCCCATATATTCAATATTATACAAAATATAAATAATAATATTTATGTACATTAATTGATCTGCAAATTCATGACGAGACCTTAAATAGACTAAAAAAAACAACATCAAATAAATAGATTACAAGTATTTTTTCATCTATCAATGTCACGTAAATAAGATTTTTTTAAGAAATTTTAAAATGTCTGTAACGGCTCGAAAACGACTAGTTTGACTTTAATAGGATTTGTACAGACGGATAAAAGATTTAAGCGAAAAGGGCAAAGGCTATTTATCCTGGGAAGGAGTCCCTCGGGATAAGATAACCTTTTTTTATAAAAATTGACATCTCACCCACAAACATACGGTTTGATGTGCAAATGGACAGTCCTTTTGTGTTGTTTCAACTGTTGCGTGTCTCGAACCACTTTGCCACATATATCACAGAGTATTGATTTTTTAGTAATAACGCCATGCTTTTCCTGTAAATTATGCTTTTCTATTAATATATACAAATAGTTCTTATAATATATATTAAATTAATTTTGTAATAATTTATGGCTTTGAATTTATCATTGGCAGTATTATATTTTCGATAAATATACTCTTATATCTATATCTCTATGGTATACAATATACATCGACTGAAACTAATTGTTTGTTATTAACATTATAAACAGGTAAAGTTCGTGAGTTTGGATGTATTTGTAAAAGCATATTTGTGATGTTTTGCAAAGTCGGTTAGTAAAAAAAATACCTTTAAATGTAAATTTAAGCTGTTCTTAGAGTCACAAGGCAGTGAACAGAGTTTGCATATCCACGGCTTTCGACCCGACGACTGCGGGTGTACGTTACTACGATGGGTTGTTAGATATCTGGAATTACAATAATATGTTGTATGTTGGGACATTAACACACAGTACCATCTAGTCCCAGGTAAGCTACGAGGCTTGTGTTTTGGATACCAGATAGCTGATTAAAAAAAATTACTTTGTTATACCTACGTTTTATGATACTGTCTAAGATTAAGCGAATTTTTTCTCGGTTTTATTTTAGATCACATTTGTTATAAAACATTCGAAAAGTTGCGGCTTATCAAAAACAAAAATAAAGCCGCGAAAAAAGTCAGATTTTATACTACTCCACAAGTATATACTTTTTTTATATTTCAAGGACACTCTTGTGTTAATTTCCCAAAAAAAAAAACATTTCAAGGGTAAAATCTCAACTTTAAAATTTCTTTAAATGTTACATTACGAGTACATTTACAGGCATCTTGAAGTTGAGGTACCATTTTATTTAAGTCAAAAACGGAATTTTCAAAACATCCTTTTTAATGTGTATTTGTGAAAAGAAAAATAAAATTTTACTTATGTAAATGGAATGCCATGCCACATATTTCGCAGGAGAATGGTTTAACACCTTTGTGTATGTTCTGATGTTGTTCATACCATGTTTTCACTTGGAAACCTTTTCCACAATCTTCGCACTTATACTGAAAAAAATTTGGATAGGACTTAAAAATAGTTAAAAAAACTACTAACTGTATATATCTATATAGATAAATAAAATTGAAATGTTATAAGGAGTAACTTAGGCTACTTTTATTTAAGAAAAAACTTAGGAGTCCATTAAAAATTACCTAGGGAAGTCACTAGTGGGACAATAAAATTAATCAAATAGGTATAAGTCAAAGGTTTTAAAAGGTAGGTTATAAGATATTGAAGATATCTTCATCTCCTGGCTCTGGAGAAGAAATTCAGATGAAATATTTTGTAGAGTTACCTTATATTCTTTCCTATGTCGTTTCTCATGATCTTTAACAACATGTTTGTGAACAGATCTGTACCCACAATTATATGAACATTTATACATTTCGCCTGTATGCATTTTGCCATGAGCAACAATTATTGATGCTGTTTGATAGGTTTTTCCTAGAATATTTTACAAATCCATGTAATTTAGTTTTATCTATACAAATGAATAAAATGGAAGTATCTGTTTGTAATGTCAAAATAACAGTTTTTTTAACTATAGTTTTAAGTAGTCAACTATTTATTGCAATGACAAAAGAACATATCAAATATTTGTTTAATGTGCCTTTTTTTTCAATTTGTAACATACACAAATGCTTAATATACAGAAATGCCTACAGTATACCAAGCCACTGTCAAATAAAAAAAAAACTTTTAAGATGATTTTGGAGTCTATAATATGTTATAGTTAACAAATATAATAAAAATTTGATCCATACCACATAGTTTACATAAAAATGGTCTTGTCTCAACATGACTTACAATATGTCTTTTAATATCAGTTTTGTTCTTATATTTCTTATGACATCTTTCACATTTATAAACCGAAGCACCATTGTCTGACTCTTGAACTTTATATGTAACCAGTTCATTTTCATTATTTTTAATATTTGTTGTATTATTTTTGTTAAATTTCTCCAACTCCACTGTTTGATAGTGTCTTAACAGCTCTAGTTGGTTGGAAAATACTTCAAAACAAGTAAGGCATGCAAATCGTTTTGATTCTTCAAATTTTATTTTGTCTACTGCTCGTTCCTCATGGTCTTCTATACTACTGACAATAATTTTAGATTCTGTTAAATTTTCTTTAATTACTTCTATTTTAATTTGATTTGAATTATTTAATTTGTCAATGTTTGATTTGTTTCTTGTAGTACACTCATTTACATTATCTTTACAATGAAATACTTCAGGTTTTATATTTATTTCTTCTAAAGGCTTATCTGTTTCTAAAGAATCTACATAGTCTGCATCATTTTCATATATATTCTCTTTTTTTATTGCATTAACTTTTAAATTATTACATGTGATACTATCCAACTTTTTTTGCAGAATAATTTCATTTTGACTGATTGTCTGATGAAATTTATATATATCATGTACTTTGTTAATACAAGCATAGCATATATTTTTTGGCAATTCGTCTGCTAAAGATACCTGTATAATAATGTAATTTGAGGTTTTAGTCTGGCTGTTTTTAAATATTATAAAGAGGAAAGATTTGTATTTTTGTATGTTTGTAATGAATAAACTCAAAAACTACTGGACCGATTTAGAATAAATTTGGTAAGATAGTTTGAGATCCTGGAAAGGACATAGGATATTTTTTATTCTGGAAATCATTCGTTAAGGGGGTGAAAATGGGGATGAAAGTATGCATAGGGAATTAACCTAGGGACGAACCCGAGCGAAGCGAGGGTGAGTCGCTTGTTTTAAATATATAGGTAATTTATGTAATTTAAATTGTCTGAATAAAATATTTTTTTAAATTTGTGAAGTTAACTTTACACATAAACGTACGTAGTGAGATAAAGAAACGGATAACTTATCCAAAATATCGCATCCTTCCCATAATTCTTCAACAATTTCCGGCGATTGCAGTAAACATAATCGGCACGTATTTTCCATTATAGTTTGTTGTTTTCAAATTACTAACTCATTGATATTATCTTAAACGATAATAATTTTAATAATACAATGTTAGTTTCATTGACTAAAAGATATTTATGTGATGTTTAACAAAACTAAATGAATATTTGTTGTTGTGACAATTGTTTGTTTTGCTTGTCAATTTAGATTTTTGAATTTGAAATATTTCGCACAGATTAAATATGTAAGTATATTAAGCACAGGTGCACATTATTATATTTTAGCTTTAAAATTTGTCAAAAATTTATGTTAAAACTTAATACGTATACTAAGAAGTAGTATATTTTATGTTTTCAATAATATAAAACAATAACATTAATATTATTGGACGACATTGTAATGACTTTACAACGCTCACTTTGGCTAGTAATTATTACTAAATATATAAATAAATAAATTAAAATGTATATAACTTCTGACCGTTCAATTAAAATTCATTAAACGTTAGTACAATTTTATTACCACTTCCAAAATAATCAACACACTCGGCACACTGATCGCAGCACTGGTCGGCACGCGTCAAATAATAATTATAGCGCATGGAATGCTGGGTTATACAAAACAAATAGTTTTTAGTAAAGAGCCCAAGGGCCTCTAACTTTAATTAGAAATGTTGCTTAATTTTATTAAAGTCTTTTAACGATCCAACTTATTTGCTTTGCTTACTTGCTTGAAATTTACTTATGCAATAGTTAATCGACTAAAAACAAAACTTTAGATAGATAAAATAATAATTATTATTATACCTATTATGAAAAAAAATATACAAAAAATAAAAAACCCGTTAGCGTAAATTACCGAAGAAACATACTATTAACTAGTATAGTATTTGATGATTTTTTTTTTCAAGACACAGAAATTGACGCCTAGGATCTGCCATTTAGATTTTTGATGATATTTATAGGTAGGTACATAATATATATATTCTATGATATTCGCCTTATCAAGATGAATCTAAAGAGTATGAATCTACAAAATCGGTTAAGCCGTTTACTTATTACGAAGGAACATAGGGTCGGACATACATACATAGTACACACATACAGGTCAAACACAACCCTCCTTTGGGCTACGCCGCAGTCGGTTTAAAGTCAAGGCATTCTATCTATCATCACAAAAAATACTATTTCTGATTCTTTAAATACACGGATAAGGGTCAGCAGTACAAATCGTTGTAGATGAAGTTGTTACGAAGTGAATATATTTTTAAATTTACACCTCAAATAATATCAATGTAAATAAAGAATACAGAATTTGACACAGTAGTTAGGTAAGTTTAAGTAGCTTCTCTCACGTCTGTAATCTGTTGTATAATTGGTGATAATATTTCATAAGTAAAATTTCCATTTCTACTAAGTAATAACTCAAATAGATAATAAAAAATATTCTTTGCGGAAATATAAAGCCACACCAAAAGACAACATTTATGCCTAGACTAATATAAAGCTTGTAAAAAGTAAAAATTATTATATTTGTAAGCAAAGGAAGAATTATTAATTTAAATATGAACATTTAAGGTAAATTATTTTATCATTATATTATATTTAGGTACAAAAGTCAAAAAGATAGGTATTAGGTATATTAGTAGGTACGCGCAGGTACAAGAGCACTCTCTATTCCTTTTATTCTCAGATGGCCTTTATTTCTCAGGTGGCAAAAATCGGTCAGGAATACATCATCATCATTATATCCATACTTTCCATACTTAATATTATAAATGTGAAAGTGTTTGATTGCTTGTCCTTCTTTCACGTCGAAACGGAGTGACGGATTGGCGTGTTTTTGTGTGTGAAGATAGTAGGAAGGCTGGAGAGTGACAAAGGCTACTTTTTTCCGTTGAAGATTGCCTTATTCCCACGGGAAAACACGTTATAAGACAACCAAAAAAATATTTATGGTCAGAATTACTTGAAACTTAGTATTAATGCTTTTCAATTCAATTAAATAAATACGTGTTTTATCATTTTTTGAAATTCATCCCGTAAGGGGGTAAAATGGGGGATGAAATTTTGTATGAAACCTACGTTTTTAAAGTTTTTTGTGTAGTTTAGCGCGAGCGAAGCCGCGGGTTCTGCTAGTATAGTTATATATAAAAAAAATCGAGTGACTGTGTATTTGTTACCTCTTAACGCCATAGCGAATTTACGAACTATAATATGTACCTATTACGCTAAAGTTTAGGTCCTTTAATAACACATAGTTGTCTTTTTATCGATGTACTACACATGCGAGTGGAGTTATGGTCCAAAACTAGTAGACAATAAATCTTCACAATCACATAGCATTTGATCTATAACGACGCACGCTGTTAATACGTTAGCCTTCAACACCACGTGTTGTAGGTGTTAGCACCTTTTTCGTACATTTTTAGCGTTTCCAAGTAAATATTTGAGGTAACAATACTTTATCCGATGATGTAATTGTCTTGCTGTTTGCCTTGGAGTCTAGGTTGCAAAATTATAAAGTTTGACATATACATTAACACGAAAGCAATAAATCTGTACATGTGAGTGGGTGGCTTAATGGTTACACAATCTTTAATTTGGTTGTCAAGTCAAGAATAGCCTATAATCATAAAAGTTGACTCCCTCCAAGAATATCGTTCAAATGTTACTATCGTAGTATTACGACATATTGTATAGTGTATACACTATAACTCTGAGCTAAGTTTACCTGTTTTTTTTTACAATTTTTGCTACATACTAATTTTCGGTCGCAGCGTTGTTTGCGTTGTAAGTAGATGGAAGGAGCCAAGTGAAGCCAAAAGACCATCGGGTTGCAACTGGTAGGTACTTGTCTGATAGCAGAGTGGAGTGTGGACGGTGGGAGCAACACCTTGGTTGGTGTGGTTTGCCTTGGCTGGCAGCCGTCGGGGCATCGATGAATGCGTAGCGATTCTGCGACACCTAATTAAAGCGGGGGAGGTTTGGTTGGTTTTTAGTACGTAATAGTGGCTTTTTTGGCCGGTGAGACCCACATAATGTGTATGTAAGCAGATGGTATGCGTAAATCAATTTTCCAATGTTAAAAGACAATATAAAAAATATAGAGAAATCTGTTACTGTACCGTTTCTAAAACCATTCTTATTGATTTATAAAAAGTCTAAAACTTATGTTTTTTTGCTAAGCTTAAAAGAAGTGCAAAGTATTAGAAGTACCTTTTCTTTAGCTGGAAAGGAAGTAAAATACATATGAATTTAGTCAAATGTACTTAGTACCTATTATTAATGAATTCACATTTCATCACGCAGTCTGGCTGCCTACTTATTTATTCAGTTATTGTATTTCACAAAATTCCTAGTCGAAGATTAAAAAAAAAGTAAATATAAAACAATATAAAAATATGCTTCATTGTATTTATATATTATACTAGCAGAACCCGTGGCTACGCCCGCGTTCAATCTACAAATAAAAACTCTTTGGCTTTATGTAATACAGCGTATATAATATTTGTATTTATATCATTCATACAAAAATACAAAAATCTCGATAAACTACACTGATATTATAAAGAGGAAAGATTTGTATTTTTGTATGTTTGTAACGAATAAAATCAAAAACTACTGGACCGATTTAGATGAAATTTAGTAAGAAGACAGTTTACGACCTATCCTCATACCTACTAAATATACAAAAAATATATATCAAAATCGGTCGAGCCGTTTCGGAGTGCGACCACAGACACCGTAACACGAGATATTTATAGGTATATTAAATTAAACTGGCTTGATAAAAAGGAATTATGGGTTTGATTTTTTTTATTATTTACATATTTGTGATTCTTAAAGAAACAGAAAAAGGATTATAACAATCGATTCACAATTAGCGAATATATTATCGAGTAAAACTAGACGAATTCAGTACCTACTCATCGTTTTTGAAGTCAGTCAAAGAAAAACGAACAGGCAAAATTATTTTTTTAAAGTCAAGCGGAATAAATGAATTGATAAGTTCTGCCAGCGCACATGTCAGACATCAAACATCACGCAGACAGACAACGTGTAACACTTACATTGTAGCTTTTAAAATCTTTAACCGTCTTTTTAACCGATTTTAAAAATGTTTTGTGTGCATACATAATATATTTATCAGATACTAGCTCCTTACCCTCGCTTCGCTTCGGATTCGTCCCTAGACAAAAAAAAATCTATCCCACGGGATCCATACATTTTCCGGGTTAATATATAGCCTATAGCCTTCCTCAGTTAACGGGCTATCAAATGCAGAAAGAATTTTTCAAATCGGATTAGTAGTTCCTGAGATAGCGCGTTCAACCAAACAAACAAACTCTTCAGCTTTATAATATTAGTATAGATAAACCGATTAACATTATTATTTTATTAATGAATGGATTGTATCTGAAGAATAATATGTGGGATCATCCAAATTTGGTTGAGTTGTTATGCATACGCTCGCGAAGGTTTCATAAAAAGATAAATTGTCTTTGTATTTTTGTCTTCTATGCGTTTCTAAGCCATTCACCCCTAGAGCGAAACAAGGTAACTCTTTTGTTTCAATAAAAATATCCACCCCTTAATATAGGTGATAAATTTTTAGCTAAACGCTATTATTATTCTACTAAAACAAACATTTTTTGAATGAATCTGAGATGAAAGAAACAGGTAGTTTTAAAAATACTTATATTATAATTCAAGCCACGTCGTGACCTTAACCAATCAAACTAAATCAATAAGTCTACTCAGTCCTGGAGTCCAGCAAGCATATTAAAGACATGCTCAGAACATCTATAATACGTGACGGCATATAAACGAATAATTTAAAGTGTTATATTTTCCGGTATAAGTAAAGATTATGATTAGTATATATGTAGGATATAGGTTCGTAGTTAGTACCTGCATATATCAATATCGTGGTAGGTGTACACACTACACAGTGGTTCGATAGTCTTGCAGATGTGGAGGTCCTGGATTCGAATCCCCGATGCAAAATTCAAGTTTTGCTGTCAAGAAATTCTCAGT